CCACCTGATCCTGGAACCCTAGCGCCGCCTCCCGCCTGGTCCGTCCCTATTTCTAGCCGTCCCGACAGAAGCCGCCATAGTTGAGAGCCCGGATAAGAGCCTAAGTACGCATGCGCCAGAACTATGAGCTGCTGTCATTGGCTGCCCGCAAGGAGCGTACCGATGACGCTAACAAAAACAGGAAGCGAGTCCTACGGAAGTTGTGTTGGGCCAAAAAGAGTGGGCTCAAGTGTGTGGCCGCGCGGAGTCAATGAATGGACGCTGCGATCGCGCCCACCAAGTGGGACGCGCAGGTTGTAGCGAGGCTCTGAGCGCCTGAGCCGCAGGCAGATACCCTTCCGCAGCATGGAGGACGATGCGCCGGTGATCTACGGTCTGGAGTTCCAGGTGGGCTACGAGAGGGCGGCAGATATGCTATCCTGGCCCTGACGGCACACAGGGTCCCCACAAGGACTTTCGGCGCTCGTGATTTCCCGATGCCTGCTCTCAGCGAGGCAGACTGAGGCCTCCGGGGGCAGGATGGGGCGCGCGAGACCCTGGAGGCAGTTCTGGGCGCAGCAGGTGGGCAGGGCCGTCCGGTCCCGTCCTCCTCCCACTTGTCCTGGGCTGCGCGCTCGGGGAAGACGCGGGTGTGTGTGTGGCTGCTCACCTGCTCTGAGAATTGGAGCTCCCCGAGGGCGGCAGCTGAGTCTGATTTTAATTTGACCGTGCCTATAATGTTAGCACTTGGGAGGCTGAGGCAGGAGTATGGCCATGAGTTCGCGGCCAGCCTGGGCTACATAGTGACTTGAAGGCCAGTCTGAATGACAAAGCAAGGACCTGTCACAGACAGGTAAACAGACAGTAAGTTTAATGTTGAAAAGGTTTTAGAGTTTTACATACACTGAAGATTGTGACGCTCCATTTAACGTTCTTAACTTCTTCTAATGCCAACATCTTCCATAACCACGATGCATTCTCAACGTTTAGAGATTAACATGCGTGCAGTACTACATAAAGCACTGGCTTTATTCGAATTTCACTAGTTTCCCCTTTCTGCTTCACAGTCCTAGTTCTCCTTCATCCTCACTTCTCTGGTACCTGATCACCATGACTTCCAGGTAGTAAATGCTCAACGAGTAAGGGCAGAGTGAGTCCCCAGGTATAGGCAATGGAATGGGAATGTCTCTGGCAGTTTGGAAGCAGGAGAAGAAGACTGATGTGGGTGGAACTGTTGGAGAGAGGGAGAGATGCGAAGGTGGGTAGGGCAGGGCCAGTGAGTGCCCTGTACTGGTTTTCATCTGTTCAGGTAGCTTTGGAGAACCTGTTGTGCTCATGGTGCACAGGAACACGGGGAAGTACAGATGTAAATTGCTACACAAGTACTTGGGCCATAATTCAGTGGCGCAGTACGTGCCACAGATATGAAAGTTCTTGACTTTGCAGCAACTTCTGATGAGAAAGTCTTAGTTGTCAAAAGCATCAGCGCTGCTGCTTGGGTTCCTGAAGCGGACGGAGGTGCTGGTTCTACCACTCAATCACTGTGCCTCTGGGGCTTCGGGTTCCTTGGAATTGTTTGGATAGGAAAGGGCTACGCAGGTGAGGGTTCAGGGTTAAGTGAAGTTCTTAGGCGCTCTCTAGTTCATCCTAAGGAAGGCTTTTTCTAACCACTGCAATTACTTGTAAGTGGGGCAGACGATGACAGGTATTTAGGACTGAGATCAATTGAAAGTGAGGGTACAAACATTTATTGAGGAACGCTGTGTGTGCTCCAGTTGGACGCTGACCCCTCCTGTGGGCCTGATGCACTGGGGGGAACCGGGGATTGAACTCAGGCCCTTATGCTTGCCAGGGAAGTGCTTATTCCACTGAGCCATCTTCCTGGCCCCAAGAAGAGGCAAGTTTGGCATCACAAATCTACACCAAGGATTGAGGCACAAACTTGGCTCCATGGTGCTTTTTATTTTTTATTTTTTTTTAAATTTATTTATTTTATTTGTGTGTGTGTCTGTGGCCTGCTCAGCCCACCAGGGGGCAGGGCTGGCTGGCATGTGGTGCTGGGGGATTGAACCGCGGTCCCTGTGCTTTGCTAAGCTTGTTCTGAGTAGGTGCGTTTAGACCACTGAGCCATCTCCCCAGCCCCTCCATGGTGCTTTTTAAAGGTATGTTTTAGGTTTGTCTATAAAAATGGTTTTCTGCTTCCATTTTTTTTTATAGTGTCTTTTCCTGTGTGACGAGATAGAACAAGATGATGCCAGATTTATAGACCTTTTCTCCAGCTGTGTTAGCATCTCTCCTCTCTCTGAAGTAGATAATGTATTTAGACCTTTTTTTCTTCCTACTTGCTTGGCCTTATTCCTTTCCAGTAACTTGAGTGCCTGTTCATTGTCTCTGCCTTCCCGAGTTGCTCTTCTTTCTCAGGATGCCCGCTGGCTCACTTGGCTTGTTTTTGGTTTTCTTCTGTTGTGCAGCTATGGTGGGTAATCCCAGGTCCTGCCTGAAGCTGAGCTAGAGCGGGAATATGGAGAGATGTTAACTTGTCATTGTGGTCTGGTCATTTTTGATATGCATGGACTAGCTTATCTGTTGATCTTTTAGAGTCTTTGTCTCCTCTCTTCTTATAAGAGTCTACATTTTTCTTTTTTCTTTTATTTTTATGTATTTATTTGCTTTTTTTTGAGGCAGAATCTTGCTATGTAGTTCAAGCCATCATTGAGCTCACTGTGTAGCCCAGTCTGGTCTCAGATTTACAATAATCTTCCTCCCTCAGTCTTCTTGAGTTTTGGGATTACAGAAATGTGCCACCATGCAC